CTGAGACAGAGACAGCGCGGCGGGCTGGATGGGGGTTAGGGCGTGGGTTGATGGGATGCTACGGCCCGTTGTTTTGGGAGGTGAGTTAAGACGGAGAGGGCTAAGAATACTCGATACAGAGCAAGGTGAACAGGAGAGGATGGAGGTGTTTGATGGGCGTTGATGGGCGTGGATGATCGAGATGTTTGTCCGGAATCGGAGGGATGGGGGGTGGATGTGAGGGTGTTGCACAGTATAAAGTAGGTGTAGAGAGTATAATAAAAAGACATCACACACACACACACCTTTTGATATGCACGCACATCCAATCCAGCACAAAATCACATAAAATGCACCGCACACCAAATCCGGGCTATCCGGTTTACTCATCTCTCTCTGCCTCTGTCTGCTCATCTGCTCATCTGCTTCTCTCTCTCCTCTTCTCCTCCCTGCTCAACTACCAAAGTACCCACGGCACGCTAGTAAGAAAGTAACTTGCCCATCACCGCGAGGGTCCACTAGCACCGAGCGTACCGGTACCTTTTGCTCCGTTGAGCTGCTTTCCGCCGCCGAGATAGGGCGATTAGCGCGTGTCTTGGAAGGGAGTACTGTGATACACAGGGTACTTGTGAGATACCAACACCCCACCCACAAATGTCCGCCCTTGGCTTCCTCCTTGATCCATCGATGATGCGCCCTTTCCTTGTCCTCGGTGTCCCTTCTTGCCCTAATAAATGGCTTTCTGCATCCACAATCCAACTGCCACCTCCAACTTCCACCTACCTCTGACTGCTGACGCTGATTGACTGACTGACTGGTACTGTGCTACTATCCACATTATCCACTTTGTCTGTTACCCTGCTTGTTACCCTGCTGTACTCAGCTGGTACTGGTACCTCTACTTGTCAGTCTGGCATTACTCATCCACCACTAATCCACCCATCATCCATCACACATCTCACCCACTTTCTCACCCAAATGTCCAACCCCATCAACCAACCACCACTCACCCACTCTTAACTGTCTGCACCTGTTAATTTGTAACTCTACATAGTAACTAACCTGTTACTGTACTACCTCTACTCTACTCTACTCTACTCTACTCTACTCTATTCTTACTTTTACTTCTGCTCTTCCCTTTTCCCTTTTCCTAAATATGCAATGTACCGTTACACCCCAAGAACCCGGGTTCGCCGGCTCCGAGAGAAAAACTTCCTGCCAAGCCATCTGGCGGCGTGCGTGCGTGGGTACGAACCTTCTTTTTTCGACACGCCGCTAGAACACACCTTGGGGTACACACACTATAGACACCCACACACACGCCCACCACCACTACAAATTTTGTATGTACGGTAGTAGGGATATAGTAGGGATATAGTAGGGATATGGTTGTAAGAATAGTATAGTCCACTCTAAACGAAAAGGGCAGGGCAGGGCAGGGGAATAGGGAGACTAAGACCTGCTGATTTACTCTACTACTACTACTACCCTACTACTCTACTACACGAATCTGTAATCTACTACTAAATCTACTTACCTTACTCTACTATATACCCTACATACCCTACTAGTCGTCTCTGTCCTTAGTAGGGGTCATTGACTCGCGAGGCCCCGTTGAAGGCCCCGTCGAGGCGTCATTCATGTACTTTGGTACGAGTACTACTTATAGTACTCTAGTCACTCTTAAGCTGTATGGAGTATGTACGAAGTAATGGCTTAGTCGCCCTTCCGCCCTTCTTTCTCAATGTGGGTTGCGTTGCATGAAGTGCCATGCCCGTCTCCTCGTTCTTGTCTTGTTCTGCCCTCCCTTTGCTACTAAAACTGACTTGACCTTAAACTAGAGTACTACTCCACTACTCCACTCTACTCTACTCGACTTACTACTTTGCCTCTCTCTCGCTCTCTATCTCATCTCGCCTCCCTCTTCTCCTCTCTCTCTCTGACATCTACTACCCGACTGATTGACATCTTGACTTTCTGCTCTTGCTTGCATCTTGTTGTTTCTCTCTTGGCCACTCCTTCCGCTTCTACCATTCGACATACCTACATTGTTCCTGCACTTCTTTACTGAAAGCACGCAAGCACGCCCTGCTCGATATATCGTCTATCTTCTCTTCATACACCTTCCTTCTTCTTGCCTCATATCCGGCCTTTCCGCTGCATATAGCAATACAGCATATCAACCAAATACCTTCGATCGACGATACTTGCCCTGCCATTTCTACCGACGAAACAAACTGCCGTCTCCGACCTTCCACGTTTAGGAGATATTTATAGTTGGTATGTCCGTCCACGAGTCTCGCCCCTCTGCGGTGCTCTATTCTAGACCACATCCGCCAAGCCTCACTGCTTCGTCACATTTCCCTTGGCAGCCCTGGGACGAACCTCCCCTGCCGTCCTCCCTCACCCAACATAATAACTTAAACACAACCACAACATCAACAACTACTAACACCTTCTCCCCAGACCTCACCTTCTCCAACCTCACAATCACCACCCACGCCCTCACCACGACACCTCCCCACGCCGCCCTCGCCACCAACCCACCCACCACCACCAACACGCACCACACAACCCAAACCACCCCCATGGCCACAACAATAACCATGCACGCCCCCCCCCCAACCCCCGCCCACCTCGCCGCGGCCCTCTCCTCCCTCCCTACCCGCCCGCGCTCGCAACTGCAAAACATCGAACTCCCCCCCATCCGCCAAGCAGTCCCCGAAATCGACCTCGCACCCGCCCCCATCCCCGCCCCCGTCGACATCCGCCCCTCCAGCCCATACGCACAGAAACGGCGTTTACTCACTCCAGAGCCCGAACGCGGGGGGAGCAGTGGGGGAGGGAGTAGTGGCATGCAGACCCCGTATCGCACGAGTCCTAGGAGTACGATGACGGGCGGGCAGGGTGTGCCGCCTATGACGGTTTTTGCAAGTGCGGCGGATCAGATGCCATATCCTGGACGCGGATACCCTGAGCCTGCTGCGCCGCGGCTGTTTGACCCTCGCGCGGACTACGCGCCTCAAGCATACAGCCGGGACCGTTACGATGCGCAACCCTACCCTCCGCCCTCGCAATACGCGGTTTACGACGGCGGCGGCGGTGGGAAGCGTGGACGGGAGTTCGGGGTTAGTGTTAATGGGAATGGATACCCGCCGCCTCACCCGCACCAGCAGAACGCGTATGTGGCGGAGACGGGGTATGGGGTGGAGGGAATGGGGGATGGAAAGGGTGCGGGGGGGGGAGGGAGGAAGAGGAGGGGGAATTTGCCGAAGGAGACGACGGATAAGTTGAGGGCTTGGTTCGTGGGGCATTTGCATCATCCGTATCCGACGGAGGATGAGAAGCAGGATTTGATGGTGCGGACGGGGTTGCAGATGAGTGAGTTATTTTTCCCTTTCTATTTTTGGCCCTGTTGCGTGGTGTTGGTTGGCGTCTGCGGACTATACCGATTACGCAGGACTTGCGAAAACTAAGCTAACCACGGCAACCTTTTAGACCAAATATCAAACTGGTTCATCAACGCCCGCCGCCGCCAACTCCCAAGCATGATCAGCAACGCCCGCGCCGAGACCGCCGCAACCGCCAACGGCACAAACGGCTCTACCAACGGCGCCGGCGCTGGCGCAAACAACGCTGCTAGGGATGAGAGCGATGGATCTAGTTACGGCGGGGAGTACGGGACTGAGGGAGGGAGTCCTGGGAGAGGTGGACGCTTGTGAGGTGTACTTTTACTTTTTGTTTTGAAATTTGGTGGCGGGAGGGGGGAAAAGGGGGGGTTATGCATTTGTTGGCGCTGGTTGGGGTTGGGAGGTGTATTATAGGTGGGATAGATGGATGGATGGATGGGGTTTTGATGATGGATGCATGCATGGGGAAGATTGGGTTATGGGTTGGGGTTTTGCTACGGCTTTGGGGGTGCTGCTTAGAAGAGAGAGATGAGAGAAAGAAAGAGAAATGATCAGAATGTTCACAAATACCTCCCTTCTTTGATTCCACGCATCTTGGTCCACGCATCTTGCCTCCGCGCTCCCTCTCTTGTCACCAAAAACTAGAGCGGGCCGTGACTACCAGATCCGGCACTGAAACAAATCCCCAAAAAGCAGCTGTAAGGAACTAACTAACTAACTAACTCATCAAGAGCTCACCCCACCCCCCCCCCCCCCTTTGCTTCAAAACGGGTAGTAGCCAGTTGTGCCAGTTGTCTAGACCAGACAAGCAACATCCCCGCGCCGCGTGGCCCCCATACGCAACTCCCCCGCCCCCCTCCTCCTAGCATCGTCACAGAACGTTGTTGGTGAGTAGTTTCACAGTTTCACGTTGAGACAGTATACGTATTTTGACTATTTCCGGATACGTCGGGCACTAACTAACTAACATCCCCGGAACCGGATGTGGAATGCATCCGACCGACCGGGTGGCCTTCGGGGATTTGTGATGAGGGGGTTACACTCCTACGGAAGGGCGGCTGGGACAGAAGAGGGGGAAGCGGGGGGGAGAGGGAGAGGGAGGGGGGTGCTATATTAAGCTTCTGTGCTAATAAAGCAAGGAAGGGTAACGGCTACGGCGCCCATACCGAGTTCTGTTCAACTAACTCATAGATAGATAGTATGGCCTTGAGTGGTGGTTCCTGAGGTGTTCTGTGATTGTGCGCAGGTCTAGTAGAGATGGGAGTAAAATGCGCATTGCTGGGATGGGGTGGAGGTGTTGATTCGTGATGTATTCTGCTGGATGTGCTCACTTCTACTACTAACTTTGTAAAATCTGCGCATGATTTTACGTGTTTATTCCTAAAGCATTCTGCAAATGCGTGCACATTCGCAGAATGCCTCCGGTTTATTATTTTATTTTCCTTAGAGGGAGGGATTGGAGGTGTTAAGACTGGTTGGGATAGATGGGATTGCTTATTATGGAGTCGTGTAGTCGGTTCAGCATCGGACATCCCTCCTCCCCTTTTTGGTTTTTGGGATTGAGAGGGCCGCAGACGAGCCAGCTCGTCTGTAGTATTCTTAATCAAAACAGGCAACTTGGCCGAGCGGTTAAGGCGCCAGTTTCAGGTCCACCTGATTCATCAAATTACTGGTTCGAAAGAGCGAGAGTTCGAATCTCTCAGTTGTCATTTTATTTTTATTTTTATTTTTGCTCCTACCCTTCGAACCAGTAGTTTGATGAGTTAGGTGTTTGATTGATAGAGCGTGGTTTAATTATTATTATAAACAGAGGAGAGGACCTTACTATCACCTATATACTCGGTACGACACTAAGCACCTCGATAGCCGTAGATTACATCATTATATATCAACACAATTTATATTTAATATTTACACATATATATGTATTATATAATAAAGCTAATTCCCAGGGTTGGAGCTGTTGAATTTGGCAGGACGCGGTTGCTGCTTTGCGAAGCCTTACTCACCGAATATGACGGCACGTGAACACGACTCGTGTGGCGGCCGCCCGAGCTGTCTAATGACGTATTGCATCTTCGAGAATTAATCCTGAAGGACTACTTTGTTCTGTGTTTAACAAACTAGAGAATCAAAGATGAAAGCCGGCCTCATAGATGTCGCTGAGCGCTAGGCAACTTCGTGCGATTGTATATACTGAGCGAGCCTGCTCAATTCTCTCCTTTCTAAGCTCATCGTTTGTCATCACCACCTTCCTCTGTAGTCGCCACTTCCATGCACCAATTAACCGACTCATATTTTATGCCTCGTGGGGGAATTGTTTCGCAAGTGTGGCAACTGTGATATCAGTATCTGGGATCTCGCATGGCGTAGATGGCCCACTGTGCCAATTTCAGGGGTTTTTCATGCAGTGGTTCGTGCTTCTCGTGGTGACATCTCATGTTTGCGTTCCTACTAAAAAGGACCCAGGTTCATACTAGCAGATGCGCTTTGGGCCTTTTGCATGGCCTGCAATGTCTACCTGGCCCTGTTTCGCCAATACAATATTTCTCAGCTGAGAAAGCTTGAGTGGAAATATTGTATTGCGTGCTATGGACTCCCCTTCATCCCCGCCTTCGTGTACTTATTCATTGAAACCAAGGCCAGAGGAAAGATTTATGGCTCAGCGATTGTGAGCCCTCCTAATGGCCGGCTTGCTTGATTGCTTTCCTTACTTACTTTAATATCTAGCAGTGGTGCTGGGTTCGCACCGAATGGGGATTCCTCCGTATAGCCGTCGTATTCGCTCCTGCGTGGGCCCTGATCGTACTCTCTGCGGCAATTTATATCTTTGCTGGCGGAAAAATCCTCAAGAGCCGACGACGGCTGAGGAGCCTTGCTAACGATAGCCTGGTATCGTCTTCTATGGACCAGAACCAAATTGACGTTCCGAGGGCGACAAACGCCGAGACCGCGAACGAAGCTCATCCCGCTCTAGTAAAAGGCGCAAGCAGTTCCGACCCTCATTGCGACCTGGAACTAGAGATGACTTCAAACCCTAGGCCCGAATGCCCATCTGACCCTTTCCATACCGACAGTAGAACTGCCATGTCATCTAGCATTCTACCACCAGGGCACTCTCAGAGTGCATCGAAAGCAGCTGCTAAGGATCGCAGGGCAAGTTTCGAAGCAAATAGCATTATGTGGACATATTCCAAATTTTCAATGCTGTTTCTTCTTGCACTATTAGTTACCTGGGTGCGTTTGTTTATCTAGATCTACCGTATCATAAAACCGAGAGGCTGACAATTTTTCTTTAATATAGATTCCCTCAACGTCAAACCGAGTGTATAGCTTCGTCCACTCATATCCAAATTTCACCTTGTCCTACCTGTCCGCATTAGTCGTCCCTCTGCAAGGCTTCTGGAACTGTATCATCTACGTTGCCACCTCATACCCAGCTATCAAATCAATATTCGATATCTCACTACTACGTAGGCAACGGGCTACCTCTACTATTACTCAGTCGAATTCTAGGAACAGTGGACACAACCCGCAGCATACTGTGATTATGCATTTGAACAAATAACAGCTGAATATCGAAACCCAGACCAAAGAGAACTCCCAAGGGATACATCTTCCAAGGTCTATCGATGAGCTTAAACACCCCATGGAGAATCCTTACTAGGATACCAGCGCCATCAAGCCTAAGTTGTTTATCACCATTGCCTTCAATTCTATCCTCTATCACCTCTACCCTCAGCACAACGTGCGAAGTCTCTGTGTAAGCCTCAACATAATCAAGGCATTAGCGATGCCTAATATTATCAAAACCGCCGCACTGACTAACGTGCCTACATGGGTACGCCTCTGCCGTCAACGAGTTTTGGAAGGTCTAGATCTCGCAAGGCCTCCACAACACGCCGATACCTGTCAACGTCGCTCTCAACGCCTTGAAGATGTCTATCGTGCGTCGAGAGCACCATCGACGGCGGGAGGAGTTAGTGGATCGCAGTGAAGCCACGATCCGGGATAGCTACACTGTCTCCTAGATCCTCTAGGCCCACGACAAGGTCTAGAGCCTTAAGGTCAGCGGCGAGAGAGCTGTCGAAAAGGGCCTTGAGGGCCAAGGTCGACTTCCTGCTCGGCAACTCAATGATCATTCGCTCGAGCGATCGGCTCCTAATGAAGGTTCAGCTGCGGCGAGCGACGGAGGGGGCATTGCCATTACAGTGCATCCAGAGCGGGATAGATGGAGCGTGAGCAACGGAGAGAAGGAGAGTTGTTAGAAATGGATTTGGGAGGAGGGGCATACCTCGCGACTGAGATTATATTCATATGTATTATATTCATATCTACATGATCGTGAACTTACAGTTGTCATTGATTATATTTTTTGTCGAAGCTTCCGATGGGAAAAGCACCTCTCCTACTAAACTCCAGTAACTAAAAACAACCACAATGCTTGTATGAGAGGGCCCCTCTCCCCTCTCAGAGGGGATATATCCGAAAACCCTGTGGAACTGTATATTTGTATTTCCTAGGGGATTTTGAAGTCTATTATACGGGAGGGGATATTGTGGCATATACCTGATGTGTTCTACACACACATATATATATAATACTTTAGGAATTTTCCTGTCCCCCCCATTGATGCCAGAGGCGTTCTTTGATTTTTGGCGCACATCCGCTACTGATGTGCGCAAAACCGGAAGCGGAAGAACTGGAACAGAGTTCGACCGACTTCCGGTTTGTGCGCATGTCCCAGCCAGATATGCGCAAAAAGCGCGCAGAATACCTTTGGTATTTTGGGGTCTTAAGACGTTAATGCCAAAGGTGTTTTGGGGTTTGGCGCACATCGACCACCAATGTGCGCAAAACCGGAAGCGGAAAACCGGAATAGAGTTTGACCGCGTTCCAGTTTGTGCGCATGTCATGGGCAGGTATGCGCAACAATGCGCATAATAGTATTGGTATATAATAGTATTGGTATATAATAGTATTGGTATATAATAGTATTGGTATATAATAGTATTGGTATATTGTGGTTCTAACATGTTAATGCCAGAAGTGTTTTGGGGTTTTGGCGCATATCTCCCACAGATATGCGCGAAACCGGAGCAACACGGCCCGCGACCAACTCTCACTGAAATCGACCCACCGCCTTCCACATACAGACGGGCAGTATCACGTCCCTCCGGACCCCGAACCATAATTGCGGTAATTAATCCCTGCACATCTCACCTTAGCATTCATTGCAAGCATAATTTACCGGACTGGACGGAGCAAGCTTACGGGATGATAATGATATAAATCACACCCACCGACCGCCCCTGGATACGTGCAGAACGTTTTGTTCTCTTGCCGTTTTAAGAGCTTTGTTCTCGGACGAAGTTCGGCGGGATATATCAAGGGTTCGCGGTGCGCGGGTTCCTGAGCGCCGCTGTTGCGGGAGGGCGGAGGGGAGGAGTTGGGCGCCGAGTTATGGGGGCCAGTTATGAGGTGTGTTTGTGTTACCTACTTACCTACCTATCACTCCTGCCGGTCCATGATATGGCGCAACACAATCTAACATAACACTAGGACGCGATAGCCCTGCTAGATACCCGCCGGCGTGTGCGGAGACCGAGCGGTGCGTTAGCCAAGGAGGCAGCGCGCGATGCGGGGATAAAGCCAGAGTTCAGGGTTGGCGGGGAGGTGTTGAGGGGCAAGCCTGGGATTGTGGGGATGAGTGGGTGGATGGAGGAGTTGGGGCATTCTACCGCAGATGTAGCAGCTCTAAACATCATCCACGTCGCCGGCACCAAGGGTAAAGGCAGCACATGCGCCTACATCGAGGCGCTCCTCCTCGCTCACGGCGCCGCGACGGGCTGGCCGCGGAGTGTGGGGATGTACACCTCCCCCCACCTCCTTGTGCCACAAGAGCGCGTCCGGGTCAGCGGCACCGCAATTGATGAGCGCGGATTCGCGAAGTACTTTTTCGAAGTATGGGAGCGTCTCTTTAGCGGTGACGCGGCTGTGGAAAGCCAGAAAGGGGAAAGGCCGCGGTATCTCCAGCTATGTGTGTTAGTTGCGCTGCACGCATTCATCCGTGAGGGCGTCGGGGCGGTGGTCCTCGAGACGCACCATGGGGGCGAGTACGACGCGACGAATTTTGTGGACAAGCCGGTGGTGACGGTCGTTACGCCGTTGGGGCGCGATCATGTGAAGCAGCTTGGGCCGGGGATGAAGGATATTGCCTGGCACAAAGCCGGGATCTTCAAGTCTGGCGCTGTTGCTATTGCGGCTGCACAGGAGGAGGGGTTGGAGGACGTGTTGAGGGCGAGGGCGGAGGAGAGGGGGGTGCTGGGGGGGGATGTGAGGATTGTGACGGGGAAGGAGGAGCCGGGGTTGCAGGATGTGAAGCCGGATGTGCAGAAGGGGAATTGCGCGGTTGCTGTGGTGGCTGTGAGGGCATTTTTGGAGCGGATGAGGGGGGAGGTGCTGAGCGAGGAGACTATGAGGAGGGGGGTTGAGGGGTTTAAGTGGCCGGGACGGTTTCAGGTTGTTGAGAGAAACGAAGGGAAAGAGAGATGGTGGTGTGATGGGGCGCATAATGAGATGAGTATTGGGGTTGCTGGACGGTGGTTTGTGGATGGGTTGGAGGAGGGGGGGAGAGCGCGCGTTTTGGTGTTCAGCCAGATCTCTGATAGCAGGGACACAGAAGCTGTGTTCAGGTGTCTGGCGGAGT